GGGAGGGACGCTGGGGTACAGGGAGGGAATGCTGCCAGTACAGTACACAGGGAGGGGGCGCTGGAGTACAGGGAGGGGGAATGCTGGAGTACAGGGAGGGGAATGCTTCAGTACACAGGGGGGGCGCTGGAGTACAGGGAGAGGATGCTGGAGTACAGGGGAGGGAATGCTTCAGTACACAGTGGGGGGCGCTGGAGTACAGGGAGGGAATGCTGGAGTACAGGGAGGGAATGCTTCAGTACAGGGAGGGAATGCAGTACAGGGGGGGGCGCTGGAGGCACAGGGAGGGACGCTGGAGTACAGGGAGGGAATGCTGGAGTACAGGGGGGAACGCTGGAGTACAGGGAGGGAATGCTGGAGTACAGGGAGGGAATGCTGGAGTACAGGGAGGGAATGCTGGAGTACAGGGAGGGAATGCTGGAGTACAGGGAGGGAATGCTGGAGTACAGGGAGGGAATGCTGGAGTACATGGAGGGAATGCTGGAGTACATGGAGGGAGGAATGCGCTGGAGTACAGTGAGGGAATGCTGGAGTACAGGGAGGGAATGCTGGGTACACATGGAGGAATGGCTGGAGTACATGGAGGGAACGCTGGAGTACACAGAGGGAATGCTGGAGTACATGGAGGAAGCGCTGGAGCACAGGGAGGGAATGCTGGAGTACAGGGAGGAATGCTGGAGTACATGGAGGGAATGCTGGAGTACAGGGAGGGAATGCTGGAGTACATGGAGGGAATGCTGGAGTACAGGGAGGGAATGCTGGAGTACAGGGAGGGAATGCTGGAGTACAGTGGAGGGAATGCTGGAGTACAGGGAGGGAATGCTGGAGTACACAGAGGAGGGAATGCTGGAGTACAGGGAGGGAATGCTGGAGTACAGGGAGGGAATGCTGGAGTACACGGAGGGAATGCTGGAGTACACATGGAGGGAATGCTGGAGTACAGGGGAGGGAATGCTGGAGTACAGGGAGGGAATGCTGGAGTACAGAGAGGGAACGCTGGAGTACAGGGAGGGAATGCTGGAGTACATGGAGGGAATGCTGGAGTACAGGGAGGGAATGCTGGAGTACAGGGAGGGAATGCTGGAGTACAGGGAGGGAATGCTGGAGTACAGGGAGGGAATGCTGGAGTACAGATAGGGAACACTGGAGTACAGGGAGGGAATGCTGGAGTACAGGAGGGGAATGAATGCTGGAGTACAGATAGGGAACACTGGAGTACAGGAGGGAATGCTGGAGTACATGGAGGGAATGCTGGAGTACACGGAGGGAATGCTGGAGTACAGGGAGGGAACACTGGAGTACAGGGAGGGAATGCTGGAGTACAGGGAGGGAATGCTGGAGTACAGATAGGGAACACTGGAGTACAGGGAGGGAATGCTGGAGTACAGGGAGGGAATGCTGGAGTACACGGAGGGAATGCTGGAGTACAGATAGGGAACACTGGAGTACAGGGAGGGAATGCTGGAGTACAGGGAGGGAATGCTGGAGTACAGATAGGGAACACTGGAGTACAGGATGGGTACTGGAGTACAGGGAGGGAATGCTGGAGTACAGGGAGGGAATGCTGGAGTACACGGAGGGAATGCTGGAGTACAGGGAGGGAATGCTTCAGTACAGGGGAACCAGTACAGGGGGCACTTGAGTACAGGGAAGTGATGCTTCAGCAAAGGGGAGACCGCTGGAGTACAGGGAGGCAATGCTTTAGTACAGTGGGGAACGCCTGAATACAAGGAAAGACTGCTTCAGAACAGGGAGGCCGCTGGAGTACAGGGACGGAACGTCGAAGTACAGGGAAGGAACTAGGGCTGCAACAATGTATCGAGCTATCGATGGAGTAGAAACGAAAAACTATCGATAGTTTAGTAATTGACTTCTGTTGATAAATGCGCAGGAAGTACCAGATTCGTTCACTTTAATTTAGAGTTATTTCTCCGTACCTGTTACCTCTTTAACAAACTTGATCAGGGTTTCAAGTTTCTTGTCAGTTATTATAAGAGACTGAAACTACTTCAGCTTGTGTATATTTCATATACAAACTATGCATTCATTTGGTAAATGACTTCAAATGAGACAATTCAAAGAGAGAAAAACAACTATTGCAATAGTTGGTCGCCATAGACTATCGCTATCGCAATAGCTCTTTCCCCTTCAATGTTCACCCCTAGAAAGAACACTTCAGTACAGGAGAGAACGCTGGCGGAACGCTGGAGTACAGGGAGGGAATGCTTTAGTACAGAAGAGACCAAGTTAGAGAGCCTGACTCCCGAACCCGTTAGTCGGCTCTTACGACAAGCAAAGGTTGACACACCCAGGTCTTCACGGGTGGTCTGATCAACCATATAGTTTGATGCTCTAAACTGACTAATGGGAGGACTCCACCTCTAAACCACTCCACTCCTCTATCTCCCCTCCACACACGTACACAGAGAGAGAGAGAGAGAGAGAGAGAGAGAGAGAGAGAGAGAGAGAGAGAGAGAGAGAGAGAGAGAGAGAGAGAGAGAGAGAGAGAGACAGTGACGCACGCACACACACACAGGAACACGCACGCACGCATACACACACAGAAACACGCACACGCGCACACACACGCACGCACACACACACACATCAATTATAATGTGAATTTCCATAAACGCCCCTGTATATTCAAGGCGTCAATAGGAATACAGATGTACATATTATGTCGACGTTGAGCTGCGAAAGATCTTGTGTGCATAAGGTAGTTTTGACCAGCACACATATCTGATCTCTACTTTTATAAACTACATTAACAGTTTAGACTCACTAGTGTAAATGTAGTAAATGTCAAGCCACTGGATTTTTACAAAATATTCCATACTGTTTAAAACTATTTACTATTTACAGTCAACTGTTCTAAAAAGAATTTTAACGTTGAAAAGATTAATTGATTCCATACTCTGAATTCTTAACAAAACTTTACAGTAAAACTCGATATTTATTCTTTTCAGCAATTTGATGCATGATCCTCGTGCAATTCATCAGTCTGAGTAAACTATTCTTCAATATTATACTGATATAGCAGTGTAACGGTTAATGCTGAACCTAGTTTTACCTACACTGGCAATTCATCTGCATAAGGTTTGCAGTTAGTTCCCCAAGTTCGTAAAGAAATTCATCTTCGATGTACTTAACCATGTATATAGTGAATGCTTGAAGTGAGTCTAAACTTTTGATGGATAGTATATATCTGTTGCTTTTGCTACTGAAGAAATCGCTTGCTTATGCACTATAGATCTGAAGCTCCACCAAAATTCAGACTGAGCTGTGCATCTGCAATTTATCTTTTGACTCGCTTTAGCTTTACCAATATATAATTGCGCCTTTAATTTCAATATTTTCAGTCTTCTGGCAAAAACTATTCATAATTACTTAATTTGAAAATAAAAACGGACAGTATTTTAAAATACCATTTCAATCACGTAAATGTTGTTTTTTTTCAATGCTCATCACAAAAATACAATGTGATCAAATGTACAATATCCGCTAAGCTGTACTTCCTGTAATATGCTATATTTTTCTGCTAACGTCATGAAGAATGACACGTGAGTCTGTAAATATCACAATAATCATCGAGGTGAATGATACACTACAATCTCACTACACATTTTGCAAACTTGTTATCTTTAGACTTTTAGACTTGCGTAACGCGAATACCGTATCGACTTTCTTAGAAATATAATTAATTAAACCGATGTAGTTATGACTACTTCAAAATCCCATTTAACTCGATATATCTACTATCAGCTATTATAGTAAAATAAATGTTGGCTTGCAAATACAATAGTAAAAACAATTCGCCATTTCACGTATTTCCGTATCGTTGACTAATGTTGAAGTATGAGGTCTGGATATATTTTCGGTTCGAGAAAGCCTAAAAATACCCCACACATAAAAAACCGTATTGTAGTAACGTTGAGTAGGTGTCTGTTCTTGTAGCTAATTTGTATTCCCAGTCTTACAATGAGATCCTGTTGTATCTATTTCTGCTTCATTAATACCATTTAAGGTTGTATCAACCGCGATAGATTCTATTTAGATCCATTTATTTTTCTACTTTACAATGATAATATGATCTCCAGCGCTAACCCACACAGTAAATCATATTAACAAATTGTCTGCGCTGATCATTGTGAGCGTGGGAAGTCGGTTCCTAGTAGTAGAGACTCGCTGTCAGATACATATGACGTCACGCTTGCAGCGTGACATTTGAAGTCTACAATCTCGTTTCTTGAAAAGCCATAGGTCGTGAGAGAATATTAAGAAGACAGTGTTGATCTTGTAGGCGATAAATATATATTATTGGTATAAAAATAGCAATGCTAGTGGAATGCGTATTTAAGAAAGTGTGTAAGCGCAACAGGTGGTTTGACGTCATAACAATTATAACGACGTCACATGAGAATTATGACGTAGATGGCGAGTTGTGTGTCCAACGTGGTGTTATTTTTAATCGAACTATAATAACCTTTGCTTAACGCTAACGGTCAAAGTAGAATAAAAGTCAGGACATATTCGAGAGATAACGGATATAACAGGAAATATTTGTCTAAATCAGAAAATGCCAGAGGTAGTGATTCCATTTTTGAAACGTATTAGGTTGTAATCGTGGGACAAAACTGGGAAGTGCAATTGTCTTAAAGTTTAACCTAATAATCATAATTAAATCAATAATGTTAATTCGCGTATTAAAACAGTCAGCGAAGCTTTATAAATGTTTAATACATTTCAAATCTTAAACAGGTGAAGATATCACTCGAGTTCTGTTTACTTATCGCTTATGTAAACAGAAGCTATTTTTAACTTCACGTCAGCAGAGTTCAGACTAACATAGTAATTTCGGAGATAAATCTTCAAATAGGATACAAGAAGAATATTGTGAAATTGTTGCCATCTCCCGGATCTAGAAATCCACTCCTATCGGCAGTGATTCAGTTGGAAACGACCGTTCAGCGGTTTCTGTTGGGCTCGACAGTGTTGTGATCACGGATAAGTGCTGAGTCAGCCCATAGCTCGGTCACTGAGTGCTTGCTGAATCATCAACACGGTACGCGAGCGCGCCAAACACTGGCATAGGTTCATCTAGTGAACTACGTAATTTCACAGTTATCGTAAACCAAGGAACCAGAGACTTCTTCATTGTTTCTACAGGGGAATTGTACCATTTTCTGCCGAGAGAGAGAGCAAAGGAACAGGTTTTGACTCCTATTGTGGACGGAATATGAGCAAAAAGGTACGTGAGTCGAGGCAAAGTCCGTTACTCGCATTGTAAGCGTGGCCCGTCTTTGTTTACGTCCTGTGTCGGTAACACCACTTATTGCGCACATAGCAATTTCTTCTCATACATAACATAAAGATCTAATTTTTGGATATACATGAACTGTTTTGTCATTACCTATCGACTGAAATAAGTATGGATCTTGTAATATCAATATTTCAGCCAAATCCCTCGTGGCTTGTGTTTTTGTTTTGTGTTGTGACCTGCCTCGTGCAACTATGGCATGTGTGTTGCGCATTCATCACTTACCACGATCTGTTCAATGGGCTTTCCTTTGTTACAAACATGATTCTCAGACACTTTATTTATCGAAAATTGTATCTATAAATGATTGTTTGATAGGTGATGAACATATTTTAGCCAGGAACAGCCGAATAACGTCAGGATTTGTCGGTCATACGATGTATGTCATTGTGGACCGAGTTGTTTACATGGAGGACGGGTTAGGTCCTTCTCAATGAATTCAGATTGTGCAATATCCTTGTCTCAGAAACGATATCTAGCTACATATTTTGACCATATTATTTTATTTTCAACTCATTTTATTCAACGTTGTGATGTGTATAGTGGTAAATTACGAATTTAAACATCGTATGGTTGGAATGTTTTCAAGCAACGCATATCTGACCTCAATAACAAAGGGTTTGGTCACATGACCGTTCTCAAACAAAAGATTCCTTTCGTGGAGGAAATTCTCGTGTCAGCAAGATCGGAATTCCTCGGTAGACATCATTCACAGTTCAGATTGTATAAGATGAAAGTAGATGTATTTGATTTTAATGACAAATAAACATGGTTGTCAGTACTGTGTAATAGCGCTTGCGTGGTATTTTTAGCCATGTAGTAATCAGTTCATTTCTGCACTTTCAGACTTATTTTTAGCACCTGTAGTTCTTTGTTTATATTCATCAATAATTCTAGGAGTGGTTTGAACCTAGAGACACTGTCATGTTTCTAGACGGTGCTTAGAGTTAATTGCAGACACAATAATTGATTTATATTGTCATTTGTTCACTTGATGACTTTTTGGCCTAGTGACAAATAATTATCCAGACAATGAAGTCATGGAGTGGAGAGGAAAGAGTTGAAGGAGCTGAGGCAGACCTTTCATTGGTGTTTTTGTTCATTAATATGTATCATTCCGCCATTATAGTTAAATAATCACAAGGAGAATTGGGACAGTGAAATCATGATTTAAGTGTGAATCTTTTTGTTATTCTCTCCCATCAATATCAGTTGATTTTCAAGGATTCAAGATCGATTTATATAATCGTAAAAAGTTACTGGAAGTTTAGAACAATAAATAATTTATGCCCAATAGTATTAAATGAGTCCCATCTGAGAAATTATTTTTTTAAATTAAACATTTTTTAAACATATCTGAAAAAGCTAAAACTGTAAGACTTCAAATGTCATTTAACATTGGCTTGATATTTATATGAAATGAAGATTTAGTATTTACTATGCTCATGATTCTAGAACTCATATAAATATTTAAATTGTTGCAGGTCAGATGCTCAGGTATTTCATGCATATATAGTGTGTATTGCAAAGTATTTAACTTTCACTGCAATTATTTGAAAATGAAATTTATCAATGTGCTAAATAATTAAGACATCACATTCTTGTGCCTTTAGCAAGATATTATTAAGACATCACCTTCTTTCATAAATAAAATACTTTCATTTTTCAAATTTCAAGAGACTGAGAACAGATGTACCCAGATAAATATTAACATATTTTTGTTATTGAATAATTATTTTGTCATAAACATTATAACGTAAAATATATCATTAAGTCATTTCTCAGATATGTAATAGACCACATTGTCATGACAACAACTCAATCTAGGCACTGATTGCCATCTGTCAAATGTTTCTCTCTGTCTCAGCAGGGAATTATGGAACAGATGCATGCAAAATATATACCAGACAATACTTAAAGTAAATATAACAACCGAGGTTGTTGTGTGATGTTAAAAACAATAGTTACTAATAGGCCTTTAAACTAAAATTAATTTTTGACTTTTTCATTCACTTAGTGTGCTGATCTTTGTGTACTAGTTCAATGTAACCATGATCCCAGTATCTCATTTCAGCTCAGGCTTTGAATTTTTTAACATATGTTATATTGGGGATTACACATTCTTGACAAAGTACAGATTTTAGTACTTTTGTTGGGTTGAGTCCCATCCGGGATTCGAACCAACACCTTCAAAGTCAGGCACCTAATTGCCAGCACACAAAGTCAGACGCCAAACCCGCTCGGCCAGAGCAGCTTACTAAGAAAGTGTAGTTCCAAATAGAACATATATTACATTTGACCACTTTCTGAATGACATTGTGTGTTTGAATATTTTGTTGTTGTAACAGTTTGGTGGCAGGGCGTGGTGTAGAGAGAGTTGTCAACAACATGTACCTGTAAACACTGCAGCTGGGATGCAAATGTGTAAAGCCCCCCCCAAAACCATTGTGCTGTCAAGAATGAAAGGAAGAAAAGGCCACACTTCAGTGCTTTCATTTATGTAACTTTGATGTTTAATTTAAAATGAAGATATTGAGTTTTTAAACATTTAATATTGTCTAATGAAACTTTGCATATCAATCTAACACATGCAGAACTGGTATTCTTTTATGTTTGTGTATTTCTGTACAAAACATACACGTATTGTGTTTCCTCGTCAACAACTGCACATACACTCAGATTTGTGTAGCATGAAGAGACAAATCATTTCCATATCATAACTTGGAATCTTTTTGATCTCTTTGTATGAAATATTGCTTTCGAATCAAAGACGTGCTGAACTGGTGCCTTTTGATGTTTTAATACTTTTGGAAAAGAAGTTTTGTGTGTGTTACCTTATTTTACTTAGTGAATACTGGCTGCAGTGGGTACATTCCTCAGAAACTACAGAAGATATATGAATAAAGTTAGCATGCTTATCTATAGATGGTATCTATAGGATACCTGTCAAGACTGAGTTAAATATGGATGCCATTATTTGTTCTGTGGGAGTTACTCCATGTATAGTCACTTCTAAATATACAAATGAATACATTTTGAAACAAGTGATTAGTTTGTATAGTATTCCTGATTTATCTTTTAAGACATTTTGAAAGTATTTCTATGTTTTTTTAATTATGTGTAGTGGTGTGAAAAGCATCAACCTACATTCATGGAGTGTGTGAGTATATGACTGACTGCCAATTATCATGTTGCCTGGTGTATAGGTTGCCATGGTTGCATGTACATAAATTAATCATTACAAATTGAATGTCATCTATTGAGATGAAATATTCAACTAATGATTTTGCCATCTTGAATATCAAATACAATACATATTGTTATGTTTGGCTAACTTGTAAAGCTCTAAGGGGAAAAAACTCACTTATATCTCAGAATGTCATAAACCTTTTATCCGAATTCTGTGAGGACAGTAGAAAAGTGGAGTGTTTTTAAGTGATCTTCAACTATTTACCATAACAGATAAAGTGGCATGAAACAAAAAGATATTTATATACAGCAAGCTTTATTATGTTGCTTATTGAAATCCTTACCATGGCTAATAAAGCAGTATATTGTGTGGAGGTCTGCATGTATATGACCTGCATCAGCCAGGAACAGCTTCATCATGTTTATTGGCAATCTCCCCGGCCAGATGACAACTGCGACATATCCCTGTTTAGCTGGTTTAAAAACATAAATCAATGTAACAATCCTAACTTTTAATATTTTTTAGACTTTTTGGATATTTTTATAATTTGTATCGTGTGTATTGGCTATTTCAAACATTATATTTAATTTTCTCTGTTGTTGAAGGACCTCTCTCTATATGTTCTTCATGTACTGTTTTTAATAACCTTTCAGCTTACAGTCTCAAATGTCATGACGTCAAGTTATTAGAGAACATGGGGACATAGGAACAATTTTCGATTTCTCTTCATAAGGGACCGTTCATAAATTATGGCTAGGGGGGGTGATGATGATTTTAAGGGAGGGTCTTGGGAGGTAGAGGGGTCAGGGGGGTCATCAGTTTTGTACACATGTTCTAGGGGGGTTCAACAATTTTGTACATAAAATTATTTAAAATTATGCTTTAAAACTATGGGAAGGGCCCCCCCTCCCCTTCCCATATTTTTAAAGCATAATTTTAAAATATTTTTATGTACAAACTTGTTTTTGGTCATTGATTTTGTACACGACATGTAGGGGGGTCACTTACTTAGTACATAATTATTATTATTTTTTTTTTTTTGGGTGGGGTGGGGGGTGTCATTCACATTGTAAATGCTTCTCCATAAAAATCATCATCACCCCCCCTAGCCATAAATTATGAACGGTCACTAAGAATGAAACGTGATTTTCATGTATGTGTAAGGTATTTACATTAAGAAGGAAGTGATATCTGTGGATGAGTCATGTCACCCATATAGCTCCGCCCACATGAGCTGTGACATGTTCAGTCTATTGAAAGATAAAAATACTGCTGTGTGTTAGTTTGTAAATGTGATGTATATTTGTCGCTGATATAGTAGAACCCTTTAAGTCCTGTATAATTTAATCATGTTAGTCATTTTCTTCATAATGCCTGTGGGTGTGGTTCTCTTGTTTCCTTATTTGAAACTTTACTTCAGTTGTTAGCAGGTAATCTGAACATTTTCAGTTTCTAGTTTAGTCACTAGCTCAAGTTTTCCCCTTAATGGATTTTTCCTGGAAATTTGACTAAACAGATTATAGCGGGTTTGTGTATACAGAGCAAGTTTGTTTTGACAGAGGATTGTACAGAGTTATTTTTCTTTGTCGTGAGTTTATTGGGTTTGTTTTATGACCATGGATTTCAGATTATTTATTAGATTTCTGTTTTATTCAGAAGTTTGTTGATGCGTTATTTGTTATTTTTTTGAAACATGGTAACAATTCTTGAAGCCTTCTGTAAAACATAATGATAGTTTTTT